CTCGGTAACGAGTCACGCTCGTGCCATGCAATGGCGGCCACGACGGCTAATCGTGTATAAAACGGTGGAAACTACTTGCCGAGTCACACGCGGTTTTTATTCCTGAGAAGTGAGCTTCTTAATCCTAAAATTAATTAACTTTCGATGCATTTAGAAACATCAAGATATATGTACGAGTGCAGAAATGTTGTCCAATATGCTGAATATATGTTTACATCCGTGTGCAATTAATTAAAAAATTGATGAGCCGGCTGGCAATTGTTTCGGAACAAAATTATTTTCTAGAATTCCTTGATCAAATTTAGAAGCTTGACATTGACAAATTTTATTAATTTCAGTATAGACTAGTTTCTGTTTATGTGACTTAAGTGGGACGTGATAGTGAGATATTAGCATGGTAAGATCTTTTGTATCATTAATGTAGTTAATAGTGTATTATATTTGTATACAACAAGAATTGGACATAGTTGGTGAACGAGAATTAATTTGAGAATAGGTTGGATTCACGGCCGAATTCACTAATCTTCCTCGAACTCTTGTTAACAAATGTTAAATCGACGAACAGTCATTTCTTAATGATACATTGAAAAGGAAAAATAATTTAATATTCGTCAGCGCTAACGATCATCGCGCGTTGAAATAAAAAAAAAAGTTACATTTATTAACAGGCCGTCAGAGATTAATGTTATATCTACTTTGAGGAAGGTTGTTGAAATCAGCCGTCAGCTTTTTTCAATCCAATTAACGTGAGAGGATTATTTTGGAAACACCGGCCGTGGCGACGTAGATTACCACGATCGTCCTTTGCAGCGAAAGGATTAACCCATAAACGAACGCAACGAATCGAGCGTTTTTAAAGAATGCGGAATCGTCCTCGATGTCGCTTAATCACCGGACAAGCGTGCTCGAACTTCCACCCCCTTGGCAAAGGGGATGTTAAAGTTTTTCCAGTAGTATTCGCGTTTCACCGAAATCGTCCCGACGGCGACGACGCTAATCGGCTTTTGCGAGCTTTGAGGTGTTTAACGTCGCCGGCGCGATTTTCGCGGAAGTAACACCGATAAACCGACGAAATCGAACATCGACCGCCGTCCAATCGCGGAATCGTGTAAGTGCGAAAGCTATCGATCTCAGGCTTTCGTGCGATCGATATTGTACATTTACAACATTATTGAGATGATAAAGCATAAAAAAGATGTGACGGCAATACTTAACTTTTACGTAATATTTCATTTATCAAATGAGAAGTGAAATATATGAAATATGTGAGATCGATTTAATACAAGTCGACTCGATTATACTATAAACTCTTTGGATTATCTAAAAATTAAACATATCGTTTAAAATACATTTCTTCCGAAAGCAACAACAATCTAAAAGATGTCCCTTTAATTTTCCTATCTCTAAGTGTAATACGATTATTAGATTAAAAACATAAAATTATTGAATTGCATTTCTTTAAATCTCTTTTTGAATGGCTCTGTTATTTGAATATTTCGCACTTTTATGAATTTCGTAGACCGAAGCATAGATAATGCAATCTATTTTACAACATATGAAAGATTAAAATAACAGCGTACACAAAACGGGCAAGTGTAAAGTGACAAGTTATTTCCGCCCGCACAAACAAGAGATACACTTCGCAAGTGATAAGAAATGTTTGAGAAATGCAAGAGGATGTGATTCCGAACAGGATTCCTTATCGCGCGTCGCAACGCTCTCTCGCTTAACGTAATGCAAGTATCCGGAATTATCGTGAGGTTGTCGCGTAGATTATAAACGACGTGCATATGCGATGTATACGACATGCGACAGCATTGGGTGCAGCAGCACGCGCGCTATTCGCGCGCCGTACTCGTTGCAGGGAGAGTTCACTATCTCTCACTCAATTTAAGCCTCATCCGCCGTAAGCGGATCGACCAAGCTGGCCTTTTAACGTCGGATAGTCTCGCCTCTCCCGACTAGCGCGGCATAGACGCCTATAACAAACATTATCCGCCATAATGCCCCCGTGTAAACATACCTACCTACGTGGTGCATCAGCCTCTCGCCTCCTCTCCCTTTTCCGCCCGAATAAAAACGCATCTCGAAGTTTATTTAACCGTTTAGCGACGAGTTAAGTTTCACACGGCTAAGCCGACTTTTCGGCATGCTTTTCCTCATATGCGTGGCTACTTCCGGTTTAACACATGACGTCGACTTATCTATTCGTAACATCTCGATTTTAATTTTAAGCGAAAATGCTCACCAGCTGTACAAACTAATGAATAGACCAAATAATTATATTTTCATTATCACACGTGCCATGGTGTTAATAACGCGTCAGGCTTCCGTGTAAATGCATAATTAATATGTTAGTTTATACTTTCGATATATTTTTAATATGTTAATGTGATTTTGGATGGATACACTTTTCTCGCTAGCTAATTTCGTTGATAATCAATTCGCGCGATTGCATAATCGAACAATTATTAAGAGCAATACATATATTGTTGCTACTGAAAAAAATTGAGTACAAAGAACCAAGTCTCAAAGTTATATAAATTTTGTTGCACAAACTACAATCGAGTCAATCGAGTTAGATTGACTAAAAATCAAGTCAGATCAACAATCAAGATATTAGAAGAACACCAAAATTCTGTTCAAAGAATTAGGATTGTTAGTTCGCCATATGCAATTCGACTCGAAATGTTTCAATTTTTTTACAGTGTACAAAAGTTTCTCCTCTGTTCTGGCCAAAATAAAACTTTGCTAGATTTTATATAAGGGCATAAAACTTTATAGTCTCTCTATAGCCTCTCTTTTCGCCGCTGTATAACAATTTTTGCTGTCAATGAACTGATTTTGCACGGTTTGATTTTGCCAGATCATTCGGAATTTTAAAAAGGGTCTGCGAGGTCTGCGAGGTCTTTGAAGTGGCTATTATATAAATTCTTCCCACTATCATATCCCACCATCGCTAACCCCCACCCTGATTTTTCAAGAAGGGACCGTAGAAAACTATTTTGTAGACATAAAAGGATCAGTAGAATAAGCTCGGCTACAGTGGTCTGTTCATAATTAGAGATGTTGAGAGTGTATTCATAAATTGTCGCAGATCTTTGATAAGTGTAATTCGGAACAAATCGTGTATAATATGATGTGTTGAAACTGTGATAAAACTTTCTATGATGCTTTTTTATGATGTTCAATATTGGATATTGTGAACAACTGGTAAACAGTAATTGTGAATTTATCAAAGAGACTGATATAGTTAAGCAATCGTATACAGTCTGTTTCGTGGTTTACTGTGAGTAATGGCTAGGTTTTTATATTAAAAAAAAAGAAGCAGTTAAATTTTTCAACATATTATCATTGCAACAGCCCAAGCTGTAAATAGATATAATTGAACTATTTAATAATGTAGTCGTACTCGCGAACCGGTTATTTTGTTGCGCTTTTTTATTTCTCATTTATGCAAAATATAGTTAAAAAGTTCAGAAATAAAATTTATGAATAATTCAATTCGGCGTTATTTCTTTGGAAACACAATCCTTTTGAAGCTAACCACCATTGGGATTATTGAATACTACCTGAAAGGCTATAGATGGTTCAGTTCCTTTCCTTTCTAGATTATTAATTATGTTTTCTCAAATGTCGAATCATTTTTGAATGGATGATCAATAGAAAAAAATTCGAAGAAAAAATACGACGAACTAGTCGCAGAGCAAAGAATTCGTCAAACATTTTTGACAAGTGTATCGGTGACAAATTCAAAATAATAAATTATATGAGAGTTAAATAAATTGACAATGAATGTTTGTTTTCATTAGAGGTAATTGTTAAAACACGCAATCATTCGATTAAATAGTGTTCAAATTATTAAAATTTTGTTGTATTATTCAAAAATCTTGGATTGAATCAGACTTCGCTATCATATTGCATTGATCTCTTTAATTGTTTTTGATCTTGTTTTGTTTAATTTTGCCTAATATTTTATACTAAATTGTCTTTTTTTTTTTTAAATTAAACAGAGTTTGAAAATCGTGAAATATAAAAAATGAGTAAGGTTTGTAAAGTAAATTTGTAAAGTTAAATGTGTATCGTAATTAATAATCTAAAAAAAGAGAACTGAGCGGTATCTATAACCTTTTAAGTAGTATTTAACGGTGGATAGTTTCGAAAGAATTGTGTTTCGAAAGAAATAACATCGAATTAAATTATTCATAAATTTTGTTTCTGATATTATTTCTTTTTAACCATATTTTTCATAAATGAGAAATATATCTAGCAAGTAATAAACAATAATAAATTTTATTTCAAACTTTCTTTGATAAACTATTTTACGGACAAATTACGGATAAAACACGAATTTAACACGATCTAAAGAATCCTTCATGTAATTTTCGTTCATATTTACTATGAATATGTATCTTTTAAAATTTAACAACAAAAATATGCATTGATTTTATTTATTGTTTATTTGCATTGTTTATATTGTAGGACATTTATGAATTCAGCCCTTTTGTAATAAGTATTTTAAAAAAGTTTGTTTTTCAGAAAAAAGAAATGTCAAAAATTTTTAATGAATTCTTCATTTGTTCTGCGACTTATTCGTCATAACCTTTCTTCGAACCTTTTTTTCCATCAGTCACATTCATTCAAAAAGAAAGAAAACTTATTTATGGAAAACAAAACACTGTCTTTTCTGGAAAAATAAATTTCGAAGACAATATAAGATAAATTTTTACTGCTAATACTGCTTTGTAACTCTATTTTCTCGTGGAAAGTATTCTATTGTTTAAACGTCAGCACATTTTTTGAGGTCTTTTGTGTCAAAGCATACCGTCAGGTTTAGTGCTTTTATTTTTAGACCTAATATAATCGTGCGTTGCAATGCTGTTTGAAGAAAGCAAACTGTATAGTGATTCTGCGAAATTGACTTCAATTTTACACCATTTGAAAAAAAAAGATTAGAATTTTCGAGCAATGACGTAAAGTTTTACTAAATGCTGTTGCAGGTGGAGGAGTACGCTGCTTACGGCAGCGTACCGGTACCGGAAGAACCGGCGCCGAGGCTGGTGGAAGACAACGCGAGGCGGCCATCATTATACGCGAACGGCGCTGCTCATCGCGAGGAAAACAGCTGGTGGCCGGGCGAGCAGGGTGGAGGGAGTCACGCGATAAGGGAGCGTGATAATAACGCCGCGGTGGCGGGTGAGCTAGTTTACATCAGGAGCTACTTGGACATGGCGAGTTACTTGACGGCGGCAAGCGCGACCTGCCCCTCAACCGGAAACCCTCATCAATACCACCCCCACGGGCATCCCGCCATGGGGGTTGGCACCCATCCGCATCCTCATTCTCACTCGCACCCGGGTGCGCCGCGTCCCGCTTTGCCGTCGCCTTTTGCCCTCGCTCCACACGGCCATCCACACGGCCATCCGCTCGAACATGGACTGGCGGCTGCGTTTCCACAAGGTAAGTCTTTTCCCTTCTTTTTTAAGTTCAGATTTCGATGCTAATTAATACACGCTGATAAACACATGAGTAGCTAATCGACTGCTAATTAAAAAGTAATCGGCAAAATAAAGAAAATGTAAATGAAAGGAAAGCTTCTTGCTTTACATAAGAGCTCTTGCGCACAGGACACATTGACGCGTTACGCGTGGCGGAAGTCAGCACGGCGGCCAATTTTGCTTTTCTGGAACAAGCGGGAGATTATTGGCAGCCGCGTCGACTTCCGCGCGTAACACGTCAACGTGTCCTGGAATGCAGGAGTCTTAAGACTCTAGTTGTAAAAGCAAATTTATCGTATCAATTACGCGATAATAATTGTTAATTAAGTGCCAGTAAAAATTTTATTTACTCAATCTTTATTTCTAGCATCGAAAATTGAACTCACTGAAATTATATCAATCTCATTGCGTAAAAGCCCGCAACATTCGAAACGTTCAAATTGCGCTGCATTCTGTATTACTTTGCATTGGAATAAGCGCAAATTACATAGACGCTCGAATGACTAATTAAGTATTGTTGAGCGAAATTATGAATGAATAAAACTGATTAATTTTTGAACAAATCAATTAGAATAATTAATTTAAACACGACGTCGTACTTAAAATATTCTTGACGATGTAAAAAATGAAACATGCAGAGATATTTATTTGAAAGTAGTGGCGGATTCAATCATTATGAAGGCTCATTATATTCATTACACAAAAGTTTGGGATGTTCTAATAGCCAATGTTTCGATGGTACATTGACGCGTAGAAGAGTTTTCAGGTAATCGTGAGGTGGCGATAGTGGTATCGTTCTCGGTATTGATGTTTATTAGCCGTACTCTGATACTGTTCTTAAACGCTTTCTTGCAAAAGCGTCACCTAAATGAATCATGAAATACCGCGAAAATACGGAGAAAAGACGGGCGAGATTTTCGATCGTGATTTATCTAGCCGACTAATCCACTGAAATAAAAGACGAGCTTTAATCTGCGGGTCGGCGTTATAACGCGCGGTGTGTGACGGATTCCGTGTAGTATTCATTCGGCAAACCGGCGGATAATCGCTGCGCTTAAAAGGGAATTCCACTGAAAAATCTAACTTTCTCGTTCCCCAACAAAATGATTTAATTTGTCAACAACTTTTATATGTGCTTAAAGTAAACCGCTATGTTAAATTCATATTCATATGTAGTTATTCCTGAGTTATAAGTCTTTAGAATTAAGTAGAAGAAAATTTCTGCAATCGATTCGAAATATTGATTTTTGAAAGCTTTTTATTTGTGATAATTTCCTTGCGTCATTATACATTCTAGCATACCTTTAGCATTGCCTAATTTGTTAACTGTTTTACTTTGTCATATTGCTTAAGAAAGCAAATATTATTATTATTAACTCATTTTGTGAACAATAATTAATTTATCAATGTGACACGAGTGATATAATACGTTGCTAGCTGCTGCTGTAAAAGTATTTCGCATACTCGCCATATTCAACGTTATTGATTGCCATGCAAATCGATGCATCGACTGAAGCCGTATGAATGTCGAACTATCTCGGGGCTTCTCATCTATAGTTATCGTTGCGAGTTGGCGAGAAACGCGCACGCAATGCACTTCTATCGCATGCTTATCCTCCAAATAAATATAAAAAAAATATCCAATTGAGTCGGAAAAGAATTACATATTTACCAAAGCAATATTTGATGATCGTTTTGGAAATGCAATCGAGATATTGGTGACAGCAGAATTGGGCGAGCTTCGATAAAACGAATATTCGCGGAAAATCCGTCCGCGAGATTGTGGCTACCGTTCATTACGCATTTCATGGTCGCTGAGCGAAACTTAGAATGTCCTCCCTCTTCACTCTATCCGCAGAGAGGCTGGAGAAGCCCGACATTCTCCGAACATTTGGCGGATGGAAAAACCGGGAAGATCTCGGCCGCGGTGTGCGAAACAGAAAGACAAAGAAGCAGCAATTTCGGAGAGGAATCCCTCCGCGATTCCACTCTCGAGGTCGCTGCCGGGTCGGTAATTGACTGCATAAATTTTCTAGTATGGCACGGGGTGCGCGCGTACACGAAAAGAGATCGTACTAGCATCAAGGAAGGCGGAGGATTGAGATGAGAGCGCGCTGCTAAAAGGGAGAGAGAGAAAGAACAAGAGTGGAGTATAAAGTAAAACGGAGTAAAGAGAAAAAGAAAGAGAAAGAGCGACGAAGAGAGCGCGCTTTCACGTCTGTTTCCTTTGGCGGCACGATTCGGCGGAAAGCGGCGGCGGCAGCGTCGTCATCGTCGTCGTCGTCGTCGTCGTCGGCTCCTCTTCTCCCTTTCCCATTCGCCTTTCGCCGTTTCGCTCTCTTTTCACCGACAGCTCGAAAAGGGGCCCGGGCGGCGGAGGGACACAGGGTGCTGGGGGCAGAGTGTCGAGGAGATGGAGTGGTTGGAGGGGCTCGGGGGATGCTTCGACGAAGAAGAGTGGAGAGAACCATGAGAGTAAGCCGCTTATCAGGGTGGCAGCAGGCAGTATAGGTCCAACCGACGCAGATAGGTGGGTTTCCATGGAAACACGGATCTGTCCGCCGTTAGGTCCCTACGTACCTACGTCCAGCGGGTTGCCTGTATCCGTTGTAGGCGTATCCGCGCTACACGAAAAGCCGTCGAACGAGAGAGGAACAACGACGACGGGGACGCCGCGGGGTTGGAGGACGGCGCGGTAGAGACGAAAATAGAAACAAAGGACGGACGGTGGGAATAGCGCGGGAGAGCAACAGAGCGCGACGACTCGGTGCCGCCGGAGAGACTTCGCTTTTATCGTCCGTTTGTGATTCGTAACCACCGCCGCGAAGCCGCCATTTGTCCCTCTGATCGGTATTCCGTGATTTTTGCGACTCGCACGATGTGAGTATCGTGTGAGGTTTTTGAAAAGTTTATATTTTTCTCGCGGACACTTTCGCGGTCGTTGAAGTGTTTTAATTCTTCTGCTGTATTTCATTTCTCGCGCGCGAGAAGGGGTTGACAGTTGGGTTGCGGAGTTAATGAAAAATGCGACGGCCTTTCGCGTCGAATTAATTCACGTCGATGGTGTCGGTTCGTCAACGACGACGTGTCGACAGAAAGGGAGATTTCATGTCGCACGAAACGCGTCGCGCGTCGGTGTTTATTTTGTTATGCAATCGTGCAGGCGAGGAGTCGATCGCACCCCCATCGACGAAAGAGTGATAGCTTCGGGCAGGAGGCTTGTCCCGGGGAGGCAGAAAGGGATGCGCAAACGTAGGGACTCTCTCTCCCACGGAGTATTCGCGGCATACAGCAGAATACGTGGGAATCGCGTCACATGGCCTCCGCCCTTTTCCCACCCAAGCTACTATTTGTTATTGCAGAGAAATTGCCCATCCACTTAACTTTCTCCTGCTCGTCACTGCGGCTGCATCACGGCGCATAAATAAAGACATCGTTGTCAATGATTTTCTCTTGCCGATTGTTAATCGAAAGGGAGCGATAGAACAAGTGGTTTTGATCCTGAATATGCGATATGCACTTCTCAAAATCGCGAAGCGCAATGTATCCCTTGTGTTAAAAAGCGTGTTGTTACAATTGAAAAAAATGTATACACTTGCTGCTACATTTTTTATAGCCTTTTTTAAAGATTTTATAAACAAGTATTGTCCATTCAATCAAATTAAATTATTATTCGAAGAAGCTGACATATATTTTGATATCTTGTGTTTTTTTTTTTCAATTTTTAATGTTATTAATATTTCCGCGAATTCACAGCGAAATATAATTCATAAGCGTAGTCTTTTCGAAATTCAAATCAAATGTTGCGAATATCACTACAGTTGAAAGCCAGCGTGTTCTCCGCTGGATGGGCTTGTCAGTTCGGTGCGATTTCAATCACTCAATTAGGCGTCAAGTTAAGGGCGGCACGTGGCCGCGCCACGTGCTACATGCTCGTTGTTGCCAAGTGGCCGCGAAACGACAAGAGAGCCGCTTCCATGGCGGCGCGTGTCACGGCTAAATTGAGTAGGCGGGTGTGAAGAGGCCAAACACAAATCCAGACCTAATTGCAAGACAAACACTCGAGGCTGAGTGAAATGTCGCGTACGACGAACTATCGACACTCGCCCGCGGAAATTCCGTTTCTTTTCCTCGTCGTTTCTCTCGTTTCGCCCGTGTCTCCCACCGCGCGATATCCTACCAGAATTATAGCTCTGTTATTGATACAGCGAGATCCATTGCGTTTACCGAGGCTTTTCTACACGCTAGCATTCCCTTATGCAAACATCGCTACTTCGAAACTTAGCTGGTTTCTTGTATGTGGATTTTGTCACTGCATGGGAAATTGATAGATGAAGTATAGAGTCTTCATCATGCTTCCCAAGAGTGCTTTCAATTCCTGTTCGCCGTCGTGTTACTTGATAAGAACCGAATAATTTTTCGAGAATGCCACGTCGCCAGGAAGACGGTGTCGGTTGCATCGCAACGCAAAACTTATCCGATTACTCGCTCATCCCGGGCGCACATCGGTATTTTGTTACGTACTTACGTTCATATCCGCTAGATTATCGTATGAGAACGGCTGTCCACCACGACCACACGCACTTCTTTCCATCCCTTCTCGTCGGAACTCCCGTACGAACGACGGCTTCTTTCAATTTCTTACATCACCATCTTGTTTTTCAGAGCACGAATGGTTCTCTGGAAATAATACAAATTTCGATTGTTAATTGAAAAGTGTTTTAACCTTACAAATAAATTGTTTACACGAATATAATTCGGAATAGAATTTAAAACGAAATTCTATTTACAGTTTTATACCATGTAATAGAAAGTATAAAAAAATTAGATTACGCATACATAATACAGAATACATATCACTATACACACAATGCATCAAAATATGTAGTATATAAAATTAGAAATGAAATCTATTTCAAATTTTTCGCAAATTGTCGAATGTCTAGAAGAGGCTTTAGAATATTGTCCGAAAACAAACTACACAGAACATTCTCAAACAATCTTCCATTATCTATAATACTGATTCCTTTCACAGAAATACAACAAATTCCTTGTACAGCAAGACAACAAATGAATTATCCTCAAATCGGCTACAAGAGTACCAGAAACAGGGTTCAGAGATACCAGCCGTATGACTACGCTTTATTCAACAGAGGTATGATTTTGCAGACATCATGATATCATGATGGTGGTGGTGGTGGTGGTATCTACACGGATTACAAAGAAAGTTTATTAAAAATCTCGGAATTTTCTTTAAAAAAAGTAGGTAGAGATAATGAATATATTATAGACATAATAAAAAGTCCATTCACACGAAGACTTGTAGAGTCTTCCTACACGGAATTCTATTTATAATTTTATATGCCATGCAATATACACGAAACAGAACACATATATACCAAATTTACATACACATTATTAAAATATATACAACACATAAAATTAAAAATAGAATTCTGTGGCAAATTATCTAAAATAAGTTTTATTTTTGAAAATTCTCACGTAATTTGATGAGTTAAAAATTAAAAACAATATTTCCTTAAAATCGTTATAAAAAAAATTGTCATGTAAACTGAACATGCTCATGAAAAGTAAAAATTTGACAGAAATAATGTGTGGCTTTAATTTCTCATCTTGAGCCTTCGATATTGCGATCACACAGTGGTCACGTTGTAAACGCAAAGTCGGCCGAATGTTTTCGTAGCTGATGGCCTTTTAGAATTCCCTCTTCTCTGTCACCACCCGCCACGTGCTGTCATCCCACGGTCCCCCCCCTCCAATAAATCCAACCCTCTGCCCCTGGCGCCGCCATGTAGCAGCCTATTCGCGTTTTAGCTTTTAATTAATTTTCGATTCTGTGCTCGAGCGTGCCCCGCCTTCCACTGTCGTCTTTCTCCATCCAGCGCGTTTCGCTTCTATGAATATCAAAGTAGTCATCCTGTGTGCGACAAGCCCGCCATTTTACGGCTTCTTGACGCTCTCCATTCTTTGCTTGCAATTTATCAAGCCACGGTTTTACAAATTTTCAGCATTTTATTTTATTGTGTCAAATCCATTTACAAAATTGTTATCCCAGATATTTTTTATCTCATTATTTAATAATCCAATAGTGACGATTACCGATAAAAATGTGACATTCAAGATGTGATCGTATATTCTTTTGACGACAGCAGAAGTGCATAGCGAAACTAAGCTGTACGGGTTTAAGGGTTAAGGATTAAAAGTTCAATCCGCATAAAACGACGAGTGAAAGTAATATTGAGTTACACGAATTACGTGTTTGCTTCAAACAAGTTTTTTTTTCAAACAAGGTAGCGCAGATAAAACCGCGACAAAACCGCGATTAAATGATGGTAAAAACTTTGCATGTCGACGCGCCGATGCGTTTGATATTCAGTTGATTGTAGTGCTACATGTAATTGTGATTAATTACCGTCAGTTACCTGACATATCAGTGATATGTTGCGCTCGAGATAAATTCCCAGTGCCGTATTTCAGTAGCAATGGGCTTTCCGACGTTATCTGAATTGGACGTGCATTTATTTGTATAATTTACCGCACTCGCTCTCCCATGAGAGTCTAAATATCGCCGAGGGATAATATATCAAAGTAACAACGTGCCAACAAACGTTGTTAATTATTTTCGCGTCATTATATATTTTATTGCACACTGTTAAATTATTGAAGTATTTAATCGACATCAATTTTAATCTAATTGTAATTATGATGACAAATTCTATCTTTTCTGAAATATCGCTTTGTTCGTAATATAGAAAGAAAAAGAAAAATTATTATTCAATTATCTTTATTAAATGGCTTTCGCGAAATTAGCTGTTAATTTTTTCCGTAATAAATTATTCTTGACATTGTATGTGCTTCACATACGCATTTCCTCAAGTTACAAAAATTGCAAAACATATGCGGTGTTATAAGCACAAAATATCACATTATATATAAATAATTAACGAGTTAGATTAGGTATTAATGTAACATATACTTCCGTTTCAATTACGAAAAAAGGTTATCTGAGTCCGAAATCGGTATGTGGAATTACCGGCACACCATCGGATTGTACGTGAGAGAGATCACCGTAAAATTTCGTTACAGATCTATTGACTTACGTGAATCTCGATGACGAAACGGCGAAACGCAGCGGGCGCGGAAGAATCCAATAAACGCAAAACGAATTTGCTATTAGGGTCGCGTCTGATCTCGTTGCGGGCCAATGAGGCGGAGCAACCCTTATATCAACCCTCCTGGTATCGCGTCTCGCTGACGATAATAAATCGAATCATACTACGGGAGTCAGCGGGTGTTTGCCGACCCATTAGAGTCGCTTAGCTGACTGTGTCTCCTCGAAGCATGATACGGTTGTCAAGATTTTCGTTCACGCATGTAAAGCAATCGAAATGCTCTCCTTCTAAGCATTGCGAGCGCTTTTTAATAATTATTTGCAATTTAATTTTAATACAAGGGAGGTAATATCTCGTTAGAAACAAATATTTTTATTTCTAATCTTTAATATAGCAAGCGATAAAATATTTTTTCAGTTTCGCGCGAACTGATTTGTTTTTTTAATTACAGTTTAGATTTTGCAATAAGGCATTTAAAATCTTTAAGTGCCTAGAATAAAATACGGCGATTTTCTTCAGCAATTTGTATTTTGTGTGTTAGGAAGCAAGCAAAGAACCATAATCGAGGAGTCATTGTCTCGACTGTAGAGAAGTGCCTAGCTTTCACCGAGCCGATGGCAAAGTAGCCGTCGTTAACGGTAGCACCGACGCCCACTCGACAATCAAAGCGTCTCTCAGAGCCATTCTCCTTCCACCACTACGACATCAGTGACTATGAGCACGAGGAAACTCCCAGTCAAACGGGATTTGTTTAGAATGATTCAGTAACATATAGAAAAGTTGAATGTATGCTACAATCATGTAATCAAATAATTATGGCGAAATAAATATAACCGCTTTTTTGAAGGCTTTATACGAATTAATGATAATATGAATAAATGAATGATATTTTTATTTCACTGACACTTTTTGTATAAAAAAAAATAGAGAAAGATGCAGGCTCTAAAGATATTTTCCCTTGCGTAGACAACAGTTAAAGATTAATTATCTTTCTTAAGAAAAACTTATTTTATATTTATCTATAAAAAGTATCGATAAAAATTATCATATTCGTCAAAATTCAATTCTCTTTCGTATGCGTTATCGGTAATGAGACAGTCCTAAGAACGATGGTGTTGTTTCACTCCACAACATTTCTGTGTGTATAATCAATGGCGGATCCGTGCCGGGGGCGGTGAGATACGTATCATAGATCGAACGATCGCGGGTGTGCCGCGTCCGTCACACGAAGCGATGGCGGTAATTCCGACCACCGGTGGCGTTTGTACATTGTGAGCTCGACGCAATCTGTTCCGAGGATCTACCACGGTACCATGCTGGTAGCCCACTCGACCAGTTCGTTAGCCAATCGCGCAGGTATCGTCGTCGTCGCCGTTCGTCGTCAGCCCGAACTCTCTTCGAACCAGAGAAGAGCGCCTATGAGAGATGCGCCTGATACGACGATATTTTCTTCTTCTGGGCCGCTCCTTCCTTCGGTGCTTCGCGGTTGCTTTTGTCGTTGCTTCCGTTTGTAAACTGTCGTTCATGTTAAAACGTTCATTCGGCTAATGCTCAAATTATGTGAATATATTCGTTCATCTGTTGACAAGTATTCGGCATTTTGTTTTAATTGTGTAATTTTTCCATTTTCTAATAATTATATTTGAGTAAAAAAAAAAAAAACTGTATAAAAGAACAGAAAAACTTTTTTTAATATATTGGATACTTCTTAGGATTAGTTTAATTTCTAATTGCTACATAATTCACGAAATTTCTCGCTATTATTCGATACATAATCGACTTTTTCTTTAGATATTTTCAGCACGCAATTTTTCGTCGTAATGTGTCGTCATTCTGTGTGCTTTTGCCGCAATGCCACACACGTTTACACATTTTATGCAATTTCCAAGAGTTACTTCGAGAGCCGCGTTCTTTTTCTTTTTCACGATATGCTTCTTCCAGTTCGCGACTTTAAATTGCCGCTTGGTTTTTTTTTTGTTCTTCTTTATCTCTTTCGCTGCTGACGCAAACTTTCTCCTTTTTGTGTCACGACGGTACGACTCTTTTTCTTTGTCGTGTCCGATGAGTAGGATCTTCAAGCAAGGCGGATAAGGAGAATGGAAAAGGAGAAAGAGAAAGCATCGATCGTTTCGTAAACAGCTGCCTGGCGTGTCTCGCGAGTCTTAACCGGACGATTATAGATGTGATTACTTCGCGAGAAGCAGGACTTCATTAGTCCTTTGTGAACGAATCGATTCTCTCAATTGTTTAACTCGTATGATTGTTCACTTTGAAAAGAATTCGCATATTGAAAGATTAGAGCTCGTTAAATTCAGCATTCCGAGGACTTCTATCTCTTTGTATCGTTATTAACATCGTGAGTTCTCCGTGTGGAACGACAACACGAAAATTCGATACATAAAATACCTCGCGGCCGGCGACCCGACGATTCCCCCCCCCGGCCACGAATTCCGCCATTCCGTCCTCGACTTTACGATCCGGCTTCCAACCCGGAGACACTAGCGAGGCGCAATTTTCCAGGCGCTCTTTTTTATTGGTTCGCGACGAGGATACGCCGTATATATATGTACTGGCACTCTCGGCGTGCCCGCTGAGAGCCCAGCATCGTCGTTTTCAGCGGCAGCTGGGAGCGAACCGCGACTTCAGTCCTCTGGATGCTCGTGTATTCCGGGGTGTACTCCCTGCCTCTCCTCCTCCCCCCTGTCCCCTCTCACCGGCACCCCCATGACCCCCTCATAAGCGGATTACGTGGGTCCCGAAACGAGCCAAGCGAGGCTCGATGGCACGAGGAAGGTAGCGTGGGGTGGGTCGAAGGGGGGTAGAGAGGGAGCTGTTCAAAATTACGCTATCGCGGCCTCGCAACGCTGACACCCCTCCACATCGGCGACCCCCCTTTACCGCCTCGTGCGGCAACCAGCCGTAGCAACAACCCCCGTCTTCGTGGAAGACATCCAACGTCGAAGGCGCTCCGTATCTCAAAACATCGTCTTCGACGATGGTCGTTCCGTTGGCGATTGCTGAACGTTACATTGAAGCTTCGATGTCGACGTCTACCTCGCGACATAATTCCATCTTCGGCCACTTTCACTCTTTGTTCCTCTCTTTTGTCGAATATTTATTTGATGGCGTATATCCATAGAGTATCTTTTTAAGCTAAGCATCTCTGTTACAAGCTCGAACTTTCTCTTTCTGATCTTTTTCGTTTGTCGCGCATCGTGCATGCGCGGTGAATGTCTCTCTGGATTCCTTTGAGCGAAAACACGCATTTATACGCGTTAAGTATCGCTGCGTTTTATGCAGAAGTGTAAAACCGTCGAATGTCACCTCTAGCGGAACTATCGAGTGGTTTAATGTAAAATCCACCTGTGATACGATCAGGTCTATGAACGGCGAACCTTTTAATTACCCTTTCCAGCGCCGCGGGGAGTTTTACGAGTGCTCGTTAACGTAAATCGGTACGCGACGAAACGAAATCTCTCGCCGCGATTTACGGGACGCAATAATTAACAACGAGTTCTCCTTTCCTCATGTTGCAGGTATGAATCAACGCAAACAGCGTCGCGAGAGGACGACCTTCACTCGGGCTCAACTGGACGTGCTGGAGGGGCTATTCACGAAAACGAGATATCCGGACATCTTTATGCGTGAAGAGGTTGCCCTGAAGATCAACCTGCCAGAATCGCGGGTCCAGGTAATTATTTTATATTTCTCCCCTCCCTCCTCTCTCTACTACGAATATTTTATTGCTGCTGGAATATCGCCGTTAACGACGTAGAAATAATAACGCGGGCAGAAGGATCTTTTGAAAACACGTAAATCGCATTCTTCGCGAGTAATCCGATATTGCTATTCTGATCGATTTTGCGTGTGGTGTGTTAGTGTTACGTTTAAAGTCATTATATTCTTTGCGCGTCAACTGCAAACGATGCAAAGCGCGATGATCTCGATACGTGGCGAAAATGAGAGTGAAGAAGAGAGGAAAGAAAGAGAGGGGAGGGAGGAGAAAGAGAGAGACAGAGGAGAGCGCGTTTCGTGCTCCGGCAATCGCGGGCGAGATTTAAGGTATTTACACAGCGTGGCGTTCGCGCCCTACGTCGTTCCATTTCGCCATTGTCGCAGCCCCGCGTTGTACATTGATAGATGTGCCGACGAGCTCGTTGATGCTTTTATTGCGGTTCCCGTGACATCTCTATCTCGCGGCAGGGCGTTACTAAGTTACAATCGCGACTCAGGGATTCCGAGGTCGTGTCTCGAATTTCGAGCATCAAGCGCGCTTAACTCTCCTCCTACATCATTAACATATGATATTCGGAAAAGAACTTTACGAAATGTGAATAGAAAAGTGATATTCTAGAAAGAGAGAAGGTTCGGAGATTAAAATATTTATTTATGTTTACATATTAACAAGTGACGGACGATTCGCGCAGTTATCGCGGCATCATCTCGTAACAAGCCTGTCTCGCCAGAATCGCGAAATATATAGGAAATATATAGGACAAAAATGTGGAAATTCTGTTCCGGGACGCAGAGTTTCCGCGTGAAGTTAAGCCGCCGTGAATGGCGACGCAACTGCGAAAGGGTGTACCTCACACTGCGTACATATGTATATACGCGCATGGGCACAGCAAAGAGAATGTGCAATCGGTATATGTGGGATGTATACACACGCGTCGACTATACATGTGCGAATCGTACGCGAGCGAATAATATATCCGGAGGAAGGGTGCTATCTGAAAGTTTTAAAGGCAGGGGGTTTGGACCGGGGGCCAAAGGTCTCATGCAGGCCATAGGTGTGCGTATGGATGAAGATACACATGGTGGTGCGGCGTGCGAGGTACAACATATCGTTGATTTGTTCCTGGATTATAGCCCCTGCTCTATCTCGTTCGCGAGAGTTCTATACGCGCGCTTCTCTCGACTCGAGAGAACCGTGCAGCTGCGTACGATGCGACAGACGCGATGCAGCGCGTCTCTCAATGCGTTCAGCGTTCGTCGCCGCGCTATTCGTACGTCACTTACGACCCGAGGACGAATAAAAAGAAAATGTTGTCTCGTCGACGGGAAGAAGCGGCAAGACGTGCGATTTCGGGAGGAAGCCGGCCGTTTTGCGCGAATGGAACTATCGCAAAATTTTCCGGCGTAATTTCAACTTTGACACGAGGGAATTTTACATCTACCTTCTATCTTTGAACGAATTCTATCATATTTTTATGTTTATATGTGTAACTAAATATAATGGAGAAGAATACGAATTAAATGAAAAATAAAGACGTGTATTTATTTGAATATTTATAAGCGCAGCGGCATTTTTGAGGCGCGTTGGGCGCGAAATGAGTAAACATCGAAGCGACGCGGCGCGAGCGGAACACCCATCATCACGTTCGCATTAGCGAACACCGCCTGCGGCTCTCGCGCGCTGTTTTCTCCATCAATCGTGCGTACGAAACGATGACACGTTCCCCGTTGGTTGGTATCGTCGGCGAGGGGTCGTATTAATAATACAAATAAGAAAATATATTTGTCATAACAGAGTGTCAACGCAGCTGCGTCGCCCCCTCCCCCTCTGACCACTGGGGTGGTTTTCCGTTCGCTGGATGTAAACCAGATGGTGACGCAATTTGCACCTCGATCTCACCGACGGTCTCTCGTGTGTACGGGCGTGAAACCGTCGGTGGTTGCTCCCGGGGGTCCCCGAATGCCATCGCGGCCTGTTTGGTTGGTTTTTGGGGTAACACACACACTCTCCCCCTCTCTCTCTCTCTTTCTCCTTCTCTTGTTTTCTCTCGCTGTTTCTGAAGGGGGTGTCGTTGTGCAAACACGCCGCTATAATGGGGTCGTTCTCTGTCTACCGCGTTCACCTCAATGTAGATCTGTCTTCCTCGCCGTTTCGTGGGCTCGTTTCGCTCGCGTTGATACGCAATATCTGCACACGTCGCGCCCAACAGATTTCCTCCCACCCCATTGCGCAGGATGACTTTTGCGAAACGAGGATCTGCCTATCGCGCCATCGCGGAGAAGCAGAAGTTAAACAAACGAGTGAACGACTTTGCGACGAATAATTATAATCTATCTCTCCGAATCTCATCTCGCGCACTTTTCGACTTTGTCGTATCAAGTAGATGTAAAATTTCAGTACGTTTAACTGCAACGCATGCAAAATAATTCAGATCTTATAATAATATTCTTTTACACATAGATTATAATACTCTTTCTTCTGTTTAAATTCATGTGCACATAAAAAAAATTACCTTTATTAGAAGCTTAAATTTCTTAGTACTCTAATATCTCAATATTAAAATATATATAGGCTCGATGTGCGATTAACGTTTCCGCTTATTCTTTCGACATCGCCAAGACAAAAGGCAAAGGGGTCGTGTATGGCTCCTCGGTTCCTGCTTCGTTCGACCACTGTGCGTGGCCGTGCAGCTCGAAATCCCTCATACGCTTCGGCGATTCGCGCTCTCCGTAACAACTGTTACAATGCCGCCGATAATAACAACAACGGCGACGGGTCCTGCTTTTAAAGGCGCGGGCATAGATTCATAGGATCGCACCCCTGGCCACATTGTGCCCCGGTGGGATTATAGGGGGATGCGTGAGGGGGAGTATTACGGGGGACGGAGGTGGAGGAGGAAGGAGGGGCGATCACAACGCATTCGCGAGCTTGCGGCCTACGAGGGGTCGCTTTTTGTACCCCTGCCGTCCCTTTTCCAGAGAGAAAAACCCACGTATATGTGTGCGCGTCTTTCGAATCGCCGTGGGTACGTACATGTCCCGTGTGTTTGCAGCCATAACGTACAACTACGGAGAGAAGTCTACGCGTACGCGTTGCCCTGCACATATTCACACAGACGGGAAATAGGCGCACGCACTCACAGGCGGAACCAACTATTCGATCTCTCGTACATCGGGGTGAAAACAACCCTACGACGAGCTCTGATTCGCGCATGCGTGCCGATGAACACCGAGAATCCCAGGGGATGCTCCAATACACGCGTGTCGGGACGTCGCGTCGGTACACGCGTTCCCCCCGTACGGCCCCTCCCTCCGAGTCCTTGTTATTGTTGCGATTTAATGAAATGTTACGCCCGCTCGCCCGCGATTACTTTCCCATTGCACCGATTAACTCCCCATTCGGTCGGTCTCGTCTCTCGTCGCGGGACAGTAGAACATCTTTCCTCTCTGACGGCTTACGGCTTCCGTCGGAGAGCCTCGGGACTTTTATATCTTATTGAAAGCTGCCGATATCTCGTACAATGCTCATTGTGGAAGCTTAATTGATTTCTACATCGCGTTATGTATCTTGAAATTTTTTCAATATTTATGTCCATTATAAGATCATAAAGATGCAATTTTAATTTTAGTTATCATATAACGATTCCGATGAAATGTGATCTATTCCGCGTTTTTGTTTTATACACGAATCTTTCGCAACTTCACGGCATCCGCGCCGTCTCTCTGTTTCAGGTCTGGTTCAAGAATCGCCGAGCCAAATGCAGACAGCAGCTCCAGCAGCAGCAGCAACAGCAGCAGCAACAGCAACAGACCCCACCGTCGAAAGGTTCGCCGCGATCGAATCAGAATCACAGCAACAGTAGCACCGGCAGCAGAATATCGACGAGTTCGTCGACGACCCCGAGCAGACGATCCTCGCCGGACTCACCGGCGCAAGGTAGAGAAGCGCCGGTGGCGGGCAACTCGCCCTTGTCGACGCCGCTCCTATCCACGCAATCGACGTATCCTCGAGTCGGGACGACGCTGACTGGCGGCAGCGGGGCCAACAGCAACCTGACCACACCGTCGCCGCCGTCGACACCGAGTTCCAACCAGCTGCAACCGTCGTCCTATCCGCCCGCGATGAATCAGATCCATCACGGCGACGCGTACGGCTTCACTTGGGGCTCGGGGGCACCAGCTTCAGTAAATCACAGTCAGTACGCCGGACAGGGCTACAACGCCTACGCCCAGCCGCCCTACAGCGGTACAGCGGATTATTATAACGCTCAGATCCCTCATATGCACCACAGTCCGCAAGCAAACTATCATCATCCGCAGTACCATCCGAACATGACGCTCACCTCGTCCATGTCGCATCTAACCAGTCATCATTTGAACCCGGTGACTAGTCAGAGTCAGGCCTCCAGCAACGATATAGCGGCGGCCGCCGCCGCCGCTGCTGCTGCTGCCGCTGCGTCGGGCGACGACGCCACTGGTTACGTCCTACCCGATCAGAAGTATCCGTCATTGGTATAGCGGTCAGGCAGGTCCTCCGGGATCTTTCAGCGGAACCAGGAGATTGCGAGCGCCAGTTCGTCAATGTCCTCCTACCGCTGGCGACTGAACACAGCAATCTGTCACGAGGTCAACGGTAATCTCGATTCCGACGACAATTGACTTTCCGATACGCAGCTTGTCGCGATGCTTGACGCGGTTTAGATCATTATCGGCGGCTCCGGATTGCACGGATAAATTGTTATTCTTGCATACTTTGTACGGACATTTACGTCTCTGGCATACAGGAGTGTCTTCCGAGGCGACAATCGCCATTGCGATTAAATTGCAGATTTTTCTTGTCAAATTTTTCTTATTGTTAGAATATTAGTTGGTTAAGATGTAAATAAAATATAACAGAGTGTAAAATAAAAAATAAAGATTGCTTAAATTGTCATAATATCCTCTTTCCCTGTTTTTATATTCACGCTAAATGCAGAGAAAATGTGATATTATGTTTTTTTTTAAATCGTTATTTGAAATATCGAGATAATCTGTAAATTTCGATGAGAATAGAATATATGATCGTCTTGTTATTGTCATCTGTACATTATTTATTAATATTTCAGATTAGTATTTTAGCTTTCGGAAGAAAGTTGCAGAGTTTAAGAAAATAATATGTCTATAAATGGTGCTATAATTTTCAACAGTATCTTATAGATATTTCAAAGCTTACTTTCAATAGATATGGATAAAATCAAAAGTAAAATTATAAAAATACATAATGCGTACAAACCATATTTTTTTTACAATTGATATTCTCTTATTTGATTATAAATAACAGGTGTCAACGCACAGGTGTCCACCATCGCTATGCGAATGTTTCATTCACCGCTAACAACAATTTTTTATTTCTCTCCTCTTTTCTGGGATTCAAAATTTTTTATTACAAGATGAATTTGTTTTTATTCCGAGCTTTTTGAAATATCTCTTTAGATAAAATCAGCGCCAGACATATTTAAAATATATTTTTGAAATATTGCAGCTGTTATATATAATAAATATTCATATATAATGCTCGTAACACAAATATTTTTTTGTGATGTTTTATCGACACTCCTGTGCAAGAGGCTACGTCATAAAGAATATTTAAAATTATTATTTAAAAATGAACATTTTCAATAATGAAACGCGATCCAAACGCTAAAAGTCCAAGGAATCGAGTGTAGACAATCGACAGAGTACTAATTCACAATTATCAATTTTTGTTAAATCAAATTTTCAAATTGACAGTTTTTCGAACTGTAGCGTTCTTTTTCATCATAAATATATAAAAAAAAAATTTACAGTCGTGTCGCATATTTAACGCTTGTCCAAATTTGAGTTCTGTCTAAACGGCATATTCTTTAGACAAATATTTCGTATGTTTCAACAAAGATAAATGGATTTAGCAGTAGATGTGGATTACGATTGTGGAGCTTGATCAACCGATGTCCGTCTATTGGAAAATTGATTGAAAATTCAAATTTTACTTCAACGAAGAAAGTAAAAGAGGAAAAAACTTGAATTCTTTTAAACAAAAGATAATCAATCTCAAAAATGGTTCGAAGTTTTCCAAAAGCGGGAAGTTTGCGCGCACCATGCATCAGAATTTGTTTTAAGGTTTAATCTATGATATGCTTTACTTTCTTAAGATTGAAAGACGAGTACTCATCACTGCCGTCTTTATCTCATTGGTGTTATCATTGCGATTTTTATTATTGCAATTAACATTGTATAGATAATTATCCATATCAAGTACGGCCAGTGTAGCCGGAAGATTTTTGTAAATAAAGATGATGAATATAAGCGCGTGAATGAGAGAGGAGAAAAAGTGAAGAAAAAGATTCGGATTTCTATCACGAGAGAAATCTCGAATATATTTGTCGCGAGTATGAGGTGAGAATTGCCTCACCAGAGAGTCTTGTTACATAGCCGTTTCTTTCTGTATTATGATACTCGTCGTCCACTCGAGGGACATAAACAGCGCGAAAAAGTGCGTGCCGCGCTGTTTTTCGTGCGATAACTTCATTATCGTAATGTGTTTTATTGAGAAAAAAAAGAAAAGTATATACGAGAATGCCTGCTTAATCGTGAGTGTATATTTCGTGTATACTACCTAATGTATATTATCGTGAAGCTTCTAGAGGATATATATAATTAAAAGATAAAAAAGATATATCATTAAAATTAACGATAGAAAGATGATAAAGCCGTAATGGATATTATGGGCGTACATAGATCTAAGCTACTTTGTAATATGCAAATGTACATAAAAACGTATATCTCTTGTAAGATACATGATTGTTCTATCATGTGCGAAGAGAATCTTCCTACGTCAGAAAAAAATATCGCATATTATTAATAAGTGGTCTCGATTGTACTTTTTCGCTCTCCTATGAACCGATCTCCCACGTCCTTCCGAAAGATATTTATCCATAGCGCTGGCCGATCGTTTTAAATCGAAATTTTATCGCTCCTCGCATACGTGCCCTGATGTGCGGATTACGTTTTGAACTGTATCTACGACAGAATTCCCAGCACGCAATACCACCGTATCCCTCTCTCTATTTCGGACGAGCTTTATAGATCGCGAGCGCGGTTCTTATTAATCACATTGATGTTCGCAAGACCCTACTGCCGCGGGCTGCAATTCTGCTAATGCACTTGAAATTAATTAACGTCAAAGCGACCGCGTTTCGTTATTTGAATGACCGCATATATCGATCTCGAACCATTAAGCGTGTGTTAATTACAAACTCGCGGTCGCATTGCAATTGCACTGCGACGTCGCCGTTGCATGCATATTCCCAAGCGTCTAATTTTTCTTTCACGTAAAAGTGGACAAAAGATTTATCATAAAATAGATCAAAGCAATTTTTTAAATTAAAAGATCCAAACTCTCTAAAAGATTTAAAACAATCTCTCTAAATATAAAAAAAATATATAATAATTGTACAATTTAATTATTTATCCGAATTTTATACGATATAGTTTAGCATCACAGAGTGTTAAAATATACAGAGGTTAACAATGTAAATAAAAAAAAAAAAATCAAAGAGACTTTAAACAAAGTAATTCAGAAAATATCATAATGCAAACATCTAAAATATTTTATCATACCAGACAATTTTAACTTTGCCCAATTACCAATAAAATTACATCCGTATGCGAGCACAACGTGGAATAACGACTTGCTTATCGGTTAAATGCAGTCCACGAAATGCGCGAATTTTCGCAAGTATAGCACAGCAATTACATATAAAGATACTATTATCCGGTAAGCGAAGATTATGAGTCACGTAAAAGTAAAGAAATGCAATTAAATGGTATGCGCTCGAAAACGACAACATTAATTATACTCGTAAAAACAATAACAATAATTAAATTAAATAATCATAATAATTAATAAATCAAATAATTACTATTCTTAATTTTGATTTACATTATTCACATTTTTATCATTGATAAAGCGATGCGATAATTGAATAATAAAAAAAACAGATTTTATATTTTTGAAAGAACTTGTCATTTTCATTAACTATGAATTATTTAAACAAATCGTCTATTAGCGCAGTAAAGACACAATGATAAAAATTCGCTATCGAAACAAACATGTTATTAACGAATTGCATAACTTTTTTCAGAACATATATTAGTATTCTCGAACGCATCCGATGCTGCTAGCTGAGCATCATTGAAGATTGGCAAAAGGAATCGAGAAGACTGCGAATATGTTGCACATCATAAAATCCTAAATCTCTATCAAGCTGTAAAATTTTCTAAGACGCTTCAACGTGGCTGCGATAAGTGGCTCAAATACGTGGAGATATATAAACTTTTGATGCCAAAAGTATGTTATGTAACAAAATCAGGCATATGTGCAATTAATAATTAGCTGATGCAAAAATAGCAAATTATTCGGCAGCTCATGTAAACGTGATACTGCAAGCAGAAGACAACATCAATCAGAATCTCAATCGTCAAATTCATCTCTTTGTCATACTAGATAACGGTTGTACGGATACACACAGATGTACGGATTCGGCGATACATACGTATCGAAAGGATATTGCGGATGATAGAGGGCATGTGTGTGTGTCAGTAGCGTACTTCTAAATGACCTAAACATCACAACAAAGGATCCCCATGCAAGCATGAAGAAGCGAGGATCGCCCTATTCCTGGCTAATTGGACAGATCGCGTACCTGTCTACCTTTTGACGGCATAATCCGGCATCCTTTCTAACTCATCAAATTAACGAGCTATATAACAAATCGCCCGTTCCCCGCGTGCGCTTTGATGACCCTTTCGCATAATCTGGGCGCAAACCCTCCGTGACTTTCTCTTTAAAGAGGATATGTACCTCATAAAAGACACTAGAGAGTATTAGCTTCCGCACACTGAATTTGCGTCATTCGAGGCTTGTTTAAGCGATTTAGACAATAGTCGGATCATGTCTTGTGTCGCAACAACGAATAATACCACCGCGGAAATAATCATTATTTATTTATTGATTCACGAAAAAGACAATAATTAAAAAATCCTAATAACATGAGTTGAACTATTTGCTCTTCAAAAATATTTGAATTGTATGTGTAGAAAAGAGAGAACGTGCTTGGTAAACAAGCTTAAAAATGTTATATCGTACGTAAGATACGTTAACCCATAATTTGGGATATATTCTTTTTTTTTTTAGTCAACAACAACGGGACAACAGCGGGACATTTCCTACGCGGGATATTCTCCACCCCACTAAAATATAACAGCAGCTTACTTTAAAATTTAGATACAGATTTCAAATTTTTTGTTATAATTTAATATTTTAGAACATGCTGTATACAAAGAATCAATTTATGCAAAAAATTATTTGTTAATAGCACACAACTTCATGGATGGCACATGCAGATCTTTATCTTGTTAAATGAGAAACGCTGAGATAAAATCCACCCCTTTTTCCAGGTTACGGTTAAAAGTTTTATACAAAACTTCGGAACAAGCCGGAATGCACAACGTAAACAAAGCGTCGCGGCACCTTGAGCGAGAAAGGGCTTCGATGAAGAAAGAAGCGGCAATACTTTGATGCTCGATAGGTGCTGGCGATTCTTGCCGCGACACCGCCTCGCAGAAACTGTCGGCGCGTCGACAACCACTTTATTCTCCTTGCGGCGAAGACAATGGCCTTGAACTTGGCCGAGTGTCGCGGCGAAGAGTTAAAATCGGCTTGCGTTTAGCCGGATCCCATTATAACAACTACGGGAGAGCCGCCGGTAAGCTTCATGCCTCGGTTCCGCTCACTGTGTCACCGGGCTAAGCCGACTTACCTACCTATATCCTCGCAAACGGTTCTCTTACCCCTTTTCCTGCAGCCGCGTCCCTGTCTATGCCGGCTTAATACTTGCATTATTCCTCTCCCGCCCTCATCGTCCACCTAAAACTTCATTCCGTTGTGGACGATACTAGTGACCTGTCTTTCGGCGAGAAGACTAGGCGGCTTGTTCGCCATCGACGGATAATTCGGGCGATTCGACGAATTAGTCGGATCAGTCGGGTTACTGGACAGCGACTCCAATAATCTCGACGAGAATGCTTTCACGACGCGACGCCGGCACAAATGCGGAGCGAAAAACCAAGAAAACGAGATACACGCGTTATTATTTCAAATTTAATTGACGATTTTCTTATATGGATAATCGTTACAAAATATACAGGTTTTTGTAAGATAAAGTTCAAGATTAACTTTCGAATCGAATCGCGTGGTATTTTATTGCACCTGAGAAACGCATGAAAAAGCTGCATATATTCTCTATTTATTTATTACTCATATATCTTTATAAGATATTGAATGTTAACATTTCCATGTATTCAAAGCGTGTCGTAAGAGGATTGATCATAAAACACGATTTACCGACGATATATCTGCAACATTCGTTTAACCTATATTTTATGTTTTTCCTCCCGCCGATGGGTCACAGGTGAAAATGAGTTTCGCAGGAAGGGTAGGTTTGCATCGCAGTGTGTTTACGGGCATTACATTTTTCACCTGCGTCCTGTTTGGCAGCGGCGCGGAAATTTGGCTTGACGCGCGGGAGTAAGCCATAAATTATAAACGCACTCCGGAAAAGTCTCTAATGCTAAATCGTCGCTGAACTCTATTCACCGCGGATTCCTAATATTTCGTTCAATCGCGCGAACAATTTCCACGAGCAAACAGTATAAATAATGAAACGTCGCAGCGCGCCAGCTTAATAATTCGGCCAGCGGTTAAATAATTAAATCACGCTACGATGTGGTGCGATTATTCCACGACTTATATATTTCCGTGCGGAAAATTAACGGCGGCCGCCATACGGAAGATTAATTTATGCCAGAGAAGATAAAAAAAAAGAAGAAGACGGAGAGATGGAGAAAGAGAGAGAGAGAGAGAAAGAGAGAAATAGGAAGAAGCGCGATCTGTGAAAGCAGGACGAAGAGGATAAAGGACGGATGAAATTTTCACGCAATCTCGGAGGTCCGTAAAGTCCAGAAGGGAATTCTTTCTCGATTGGCAATATCCCTAACGAGAGGAAGAGGCCGCCGCGATGCGGGGGGGTTGGAGGGAGCAAAGAATGAGCGTTGGACTCGAGGGTTGGGGAGGGCGAATCGGCAGGATCAAAGAGGCCAGCTCGCGCAGCCGTAACTAGATTTCCCCGTTCCCACTTTGAGGATCGCTTAATGCTCTATAAGCGGCCGTTTTAAACTCGAGAAAATCGAATCAGAAAAGAATCGGGATCGCGCCACGCCGCAAATTCAATTGAAAAAGTCGCTAGTCAGTGTGCATCGAGACGTTGGCGAGGACGCGTCCTTGCTCGATGCCCGGTGTCGCGTACTCTTTGATCTTTCTCGTTCCCCACCCCACCTTACTCTTCGCATTCTCTTGTACTTCCACGTGATCAGCCCGGGTAGCAATTTATATGGCAAACTCAATCGTGAGTTTATGTCGTCGTCCGCTAATTAGAAAAGAGCGGTGACGATGGCTGGACGATGTGGAACGACAATGTGGAAACGAATAGAAAAATGCAGGCTCCATACGAAATAATTAATGGTGCAGTAAGATGTATGTGATTGTGACCGGCCAAAATCAAAACTTTTGATTGAATTAATCGATGAACATTTCAATAAAAAAATATTGATACATGTAAGAATAAAAGATTCCAACAATATTAATAATCTTTCATCTCGATGATGAATTTTTAAAGTCCGGAATGGATCGAAATATATAAAATAGTTACTCACGTAGCGCGCAAACGGGAAGTAGGGATTCGAGTTATTAAAAATTCAACATCGCCGCGCTTGAAAGGACCT